CAGCGGGGGCTGCTCCACCAGCGCCTGCTGCGGATCAAGTGCTTCCTCTCGTTTCTTTTGTGGAAGCCAAAGTTTGGGGGGGAAGGGACAGCAGTTTCCAGAAATGAAGGCTTTGGGAATGGTTCTGGCGTTCCTCTGGTGGGGAGGTTGGAGAGAAACTGGGAGACCTTAGACCACAGCCCCCCTCTCCGTGGCAGGGCAGCAGCAGGAGCACCTTGCGGCAGGGATGAGAGCAAAAGGGTTTCCTGGCTCTTGGCTTTTTTTTTTTTTTTTTTTTTTTTTCTTAGTGATGTTTTTTAGGTTTTTCCCCCACGCGTTTCTAGTGTAATTTCTTAGAAATGCTGGGCCTGGTTTGCTGCCTGGTCCATGGTTCTGTCTGGGAAGTAGGGTCAGCTTGAACAGATTGAAAACCTTCTAGGGAACAAGGGAAAACCCTAAAGAGATTAGTCCCAAACTAGAAGGAGCTGTAGCAGTAACCATAGGAAATGACTGTCAGCGTATCAGCCCATACATTGCTGTGTGACCAGTCATGCTGCACTGACTGTCCAGACATGACAGGCTGGAAAATATGTCCCTGAGTTTCAGCAAGTTCCCAGGAGTTAACATTTTAATGTTCCTCTGAGTCAGAACATGCCTTCTCTGTTCTTTGGGGGGGGGTTTAGTAGTTTGTTTTGTTTGTTGTTATTTTTTTTAGCTGGCAATTGGATGGACAGGTTTTAAAGAGAACAACATGTTTCTGGCAGAAAGGACATCATAACAACCCAGGGAACTCTTAAAAGTTGGAGCCCGTGGTGCTGCCGTGTGCTCTTGAACAGCTGCTGGATTTCACTCCAGAAGAGGCTGTTTTGCAGTGGCTCAGGCACTGAGGTCCCTCTGTAGGTGCTTACATTTCTAACATGTTTTCAGGGCTCCTAAAGATGAAAGTGCTTTATGTAAACAGCATCATTAGTTTCCATAGCTTGCGTAGCCCTGCCTTATTTTTCCTTCTGGTTTGTGGGTTTGTTTTTTTTTTAATCTTCTGGTTTTGGCTGTATCTTCAGGCAAAGTAGGGCTGAAAGCCTTTTCGTTCCTAGCTTGGCCTTTAGGATAAAATATAGCCTGGGCCTGATCCTGCATTCCAGGCATTCCCCAAAATCTTCTTGGCTGCTCTGCAAGTTTTGAGAGTGTGCAGAAAGCAGATCTGGGCAGTAATGTGCCTGGATCTATTTGCCCCTGCCAGTCCCCTCTCTTCTTGAAATGACTCTGATTACAGCAAGTGACATTGCTCCTTGACAGAGGAGATGAGGAAATGAGGGTGCTGGCTCTGTTCTGCTGGGGGACATTGCTCCCAGCAGTTGGTAGGAGTTTGTTGGGTTTTCACCTCCCTCCCCCTCCTTTCAGCCCTTATTCAAATTAGGATGTAGCTCTATTCCCAGTGGAATATATGGATGTTTTGGTATGTGCCTTCCTAGTTCTCCCAGTCATTTAAAGAAAACTTGGAACTTTTTTTTAAGGGGAAAAAAAAAAAGAACCTTACTAAGTACTTTTGGTGCAAGCTCTTTCCCCCCACACTCAGAGCATGCCAGCTTTTCTTAGAAGAAACCCACATTGCAGTCCAGATTTCACTCACGGCACCATTCTTCAGAGTTCAAGCTGGAACAATGCAGACATAGGAGGGAGGATCAGAAACCATCTGAGGGCAAGTCCTCCTTTCTGCCCCACATTTCACAAGGCAGTCACCAGTTTTTGGCGCAAGATAGAAACAAGCTGCTTGGGTGAATTCTTACTGGAAGCCAGTACAAGCTTCTCGGAAGCAGATTGTGCTTTCTGTTTCAAAACCTGGAACAGTTCAGCTCTGGGACTTGTGCTGGAGGAACTTTCCATTAATGCAGAAATTTACCAAAAAAAAAAAAAAAAAAAAAAAAAAAAAAAAAAAAAAAGCTTCAGTGTGTTACAAATAGTTCAGCTCTTCTGAGTCTTCACTGTTACTATAAGAAATGATTAAAGTCTAAGGTCACAAAACAGAGCCACTAACCTCTGTTTGAACTTCCTCGTGTTCAGCACACGTGGGTATTTCATTATCAGTTCAGAGGCACTGCTGACTGACAGGCTATGCACACCAGAAAATTTGCAACCTTACTTTTAAGTCTTTCTTGCAACCTGCCCTTTCTCCCTCCATGTGCAGATGGAGGAAGCTGTATCTTTAAGAACTATGTTGTTTTTGTTTTCTTTCCCTCCCGTTTCCTGTGAAATACTAATAGGTGCTGCCAATGGGATGGAGCTCTTTAAGGGTTTTGTGTGAAATGTCTCTCTGCAGCACTGAGCACACAGACACCTCTTGATTTTTCTCCAGAGCAAGGAAAGAGGGGGCAAATTTCGGAGACCAGGCGAGCGAGGATGCTCTGCAACAGCAGTAACAACCATCCCTTTCCCTGCACAAAACTGGGAGCTATTGACTATTCATGGCAAAGCGTCCAAAGCAGCGGCAGAGCCTGTGGAAAATGACAGCGTGTAACAAGATTGACTGGCATTTCCTTCGCGCTGGGTCACATGCCTCCTAATTCACACACACACAAAACCTCATAGGCTGATCAAGTGACTTCTATCTCTGCAGTCCACATACCTTCCACAGAAAGAGTTGTTTTATTATGCACATGTACAGCTCTGTTTTCAATCAGTCACCTTGAGCGAATGACTGAGGGCCAGTGTTTGCTCTGTCCAGAGGTCTCTGCATTTGCTCTCTAACAGGCATAGTCTCAGTCCGTAAGCAATTTATTCTTTACCTCTGGGGGGTGAAAAAAAAAAAAAAAAAAGAAAAAGAAAACAAATATGCAGATGCCCCTCCTGCCTTTCCCTCCCCAGAAACCCCTCTAGGAAGTTGGCTTGGCTTAACTGGGAAAGTGCAGGATGGTGGGTGAGCGTTGCAGTGGGCTGTGCTAGGAAGGATGGGTTTTGTCCTTGTGCTTCTGTGGGGTTGCAGTGGGATTATGGCTCATGTAAGCAGGGGCTTGTGGGATTCTGCCTGCTCGCTGCCTGCACACGGGGGGGGAAATGGGAGCCTGGCTGCTTGCCAAGAGTCACGGTGGGTTATGATTGCAGGGGTCTGTAGGAGTCCACCCCCTTTAGCAGCTGGCGTGAGGTTTAGATCACCTCGACCCCTGTACCTGGAGAGAGAGAGGAGTAGGGAGTGATGGGGTGAAACCAGCCAGCTTGCCAGGATGTGGTAATTAGCTCAGTGCAGCACCGGCCTTATTAAGGGCAGTGCAGGTGATGATGACGTTGGCACACTGATTCATTACATCTGGAGGGGAAAATCCGCCTAGTAAATGCTGAAGCACAGTAAATATTTTTGGCTCCTGACAGATTGATCCTTGCATTATGCTGATTAGTCTATATTTGTGGAACAGAGGAAGTTAAAAATAAGGTTGGTGGAAAGCTGCAAGATAAGAAAAGGATTTGTGTTTTATGGCCACCAGCAAGAAACTTTTTTATTAGGATTTTTTTTCTTTTTTGGTAGTAAAATTTTCAACACTTTATTGTTTTTCTCCCCATTCCCTACTTTGGCTCTAGGTTTCACTGTTAGGTGAAAGCCCATAATTTATTTTCTCTTGCCAGTAATATTCTGGAAGGGAGCTGTAGATCCAGAGCACACACAGTTGGGAAATGATTTCTGAAAGAATTCTTTTGCAAATACGTGGTGCAATCCTGCAAAACTCTTCAGCCCTGACAGTCCTTAGGGGGTGGTACAGACGTATCAAAGCATGTAGCAGCATGTGTACTCAGTGAGGCTGGATGCTTAGGACTTTCCTGTGAGCTAGAGGGCTTTATAAGCTTTAGTTAATGGAGATAAATGATTAAACTGACTTCTGACTGTTGCTGTTTTGTTTTTGTACACTCAGGCTCTCACCTGAACTTTCACCGCCTGGTATATGCTGTTGGGATATCCATAAAAGATCGCCCAGGAATGGTGGATCACTTGCTGCCTACTGATGAATCCTTTTCATCTACAAGATCTTCTCTTGGATACTTTGGGGACATGACAGCAGGGGTGAGGTCCTACCAAATGCTGCCCTCTCCCCTGTCAGAGGATGACAGCGACTCGTCCAGCTTTTGTTCTTGTTCCAGCCCTGACTCCCAGGTTCTCAGCTCCAGCTATGGAAGCACGTCCAGTGCAGAAAGTCAGGACAGTATCTTAGACTACTTATTGTCCCAGGCATCTTTGGGGAACACCGCTGCATCATGGTGGGACAAAAGGAGACTTCAGCCAATGGTGAAAGAGGAGTACTTTAGGTTGCCTGAATTTGCCGTGGATATGGAAGACTCTGGACCATTTCAGCCCACGCTTGAAGAAATTGAGGAATTTCTGGAGGAGAACATGGAGTTGGAGCTCAAAGAAAGACCTAAAAGTGAGACCAAGGACTTGAGAGCTTGCAGCCAAGTTTCTGTTGCTTCGCTACAGCAAAAAGACCATATGTTACCCAGCGCTAGTTTAAAAGAGAGTAAAAACGAACAGTTGAGCAGCTCAGCAGAAGGTGGCCAAGCTTCCAATGGTGGAATGTCCCTGGAGAATGGGATACCGGTTATGCTCCAAATTCAGCCTGTACAGGTCAAACAGGAGTCCAACACGAGCCCAAGCTCCCAAGGACCAGCACAAGAGAACATTAAAATTGCACAGCTCCTAGTCAACATCCAAGGACAGACATTTGCCCTTGTGCCTCAGATAGTTCAGTCGTCCAATTTGAACTTGTCCTCTAAATTTGTCCGCATTGCTCCCGTCCCCATCGCCGCCAAGCCAATTGGGCCAGGAGGCATGATCCAGGGTCAGACAGGAATCATCATGGGTCAGAAATTTCAAAAGAACCCTGCAGCAGAACTCATTAAAATGCACAAATGTTCTTTTCCTGGTTGTACCAAGATGTACACGAAAAGCAGCCATTTGAAAGCCCACCTGAGGAGGCATACGGGAGAAAAGCCTTTTGCTTGCACGTGGCCGGGTTGTGGATGGAGGTTAGTATTGGGGTGCAGCACTGCCCTATCCCCCTCCCCCTTTTTAGCTCACTCGGCCTAACCTGCTGAGCAAGTAGGCTTGCACTCTGATTTATAAACTGTTTCTGTTTGCAAAAACTTGGTTGGTTGGTTTGAGAATTAAGATATTTTTCTTCCTGTTAGGTAATCCAGGGGCTTTGATAAATTAAATACCAAAACATCACCTGCTGGCATGAGCTGTTGAAGTGTCTTAGAAATATAAAAGTAGTCCATTGTAATTTTTATTTTGTTCTGAAGAGGGTCAGATTAAGCTTGTTACCACAGCAATGCCTTGTGTTCACACTGGTCTGGTTGCAACACACCAGCTGCAGCACATGCTTGGCTGGTACCAGCTGTGAGAGAACTGGGCGGTTTAGGGCAGAACCCCTGTGGCTGTGCATGGCTCCAACTGCACGGGGCTAAACATGATCCCTGAAGGTCTGGGACAAGCAAGTGTGGTTAAGTACAGTGGTATTCTGTGCAGTTTTGTGGAAAATGTACTCCATCCCACTCCTTCTGGAAATGCTGGCAATGACACTTCAGCGTGCTCTGGGTTTTATTCTCTGCTTCGATTCAGAAAAATGCGTGGGTGCCACTCAAAGTTTCAAAAAGCTGTCAGATGCAACAACATAACCAGAAGGCTGAGTTAAGCATTGCTTGAATGGAAGATTGCAGGTTTGATTGAGCAAAATGTTTTGCAGAGGGTATCTCTGGATTTGTTGTTTGTTTGTTTTTAATACTAGTTGAAAAATTAAAACTTTGTTAAAAAATCAACCTTATGTTTTATGGAAACTTTGGAAGAAGCCTTCCTCCTTCTTTCCAGTTAGCTGGATTACCAGCCTGCCTGCTGGCAAGTGTTAATATACAGCACCACAAATTATGACAGGAGAAAACAAAATCTGAACTCCCTTGTATTAAATTAAACTCAATTTCTTTCAAAGGCCATCCTGCCGAGCTGCTGCGAGCAACGTCTAATGAGGAAATGGGCTGTAATTTTGGGGAACAGGCAGGGTAAAAAGTAACAGGAGGGAGTTGTGTAAAAATGCAAGTATGTGAGACATGCAGTGGTTAGGGGTGGCTGGATTGGTTTGAGGGAAAAGGTCAAAATGGGGCTGAATCCTCTGTTCCCCAGCTGGACCCATTTGAAGTTTGTTTCTTGGCAGAATTGAGGAGATCAATGCTGTTAATGTCTTTGGTGATTTTTGTTTCCCATCTCAGTTCATGGTGGCTTTACAAACTGGCAGGGATTTTCTTTCCTTTTGTGCTGGTGGCACTTCTCCTGAGTGGGATTTGGTGGCTTGCAGCTCAGGATGCACTGAGGTTAAAGCCATGTTATTTAGTTGCTTGGTCCCATGAGCTTTGGTTGCCAGAGTAGGTGAGCACAGGCAGCAGATGTGCCTCCTGCCTGTGCACGTGCCTGTGGGTGTTGTGTTGACTTTCCTTGTGCTGGGATGTGAGCAAAACTTTTTTTTTTTTTTTTTTTTTATGTGACAAATGTATGTGGCACATGAGGGTTTCTCTGATCCATGCTGAGATTTATACCAACACTCCCAGAGGTTTTTGTGGCTCAAGATCAGGAGCCTGAAGTGTTACCTGTGGGTGACCTTCTCCACGTCCATCTTATTAAAGAGCTGATGCTTCCCAGGCTGAAAAGCCAAGGGTTACGTTTAGGAAAAGTATTAAGTGTCAGGGGATGGAGATTGAATTTATGCTGTGGTACCTGGTTTCTCCCCGAATTACAGCGAATGGTGTGGACAAAAAGCAGGATACAGGAGTATAGAGGGCCGAGAGAAGTGCAGGTCCTGCAAACTGGAGCACCCTGAACTTTCACTTTCAGCCAGCCACAACTTTTTAAAAATGAGAAGCCCAACAGGGATGAGAAATTAATTACTGTAGCTATGAGGAGCATGCCTCCTGTCCATAAACAGCTGCCAAAGGGGCTTTTCAAATTGTCTGTTGCTGTTTGTCTTGTTGTATTTCACAGCCCAGGCTGGTACCCCAATCCCCAGCACCCCAAACTTTGGAAGGGCTCTGCCGGGAGGGGGATGTTTCATAGCCAGCAGTTCTCAGCACCAGCTTGGGATTCCTGCACATCCCTTACCCACTGCTCCCACATCAAAGGCAAAACCCAAATCAGCACTGAATTACTCAGTCCCCTTTCATCAATAAACCATGTTTACCTTTTCCAGAAGTTCAGCGAGAGCTGTGATCTCACATGAGTTGAGTCAAATGCATCTGGACTCTGTTTGCTCCCAGGTTTATATGATCTCAAATGAATTTAAGCACTAAACCACTGCTGGGCTCTGCTTGCCCCCCTCTCCCTGCATTCTTGTGCTTGTGTATTTATTTTTTCACCAAAGACACTTAAGATCTAAGCTCACTGAAGATAGCAATTTAAAAAACAAAACAAAGTGTTGCCTAGCACAAAGTGGCTGAGCTGCGGGGGGAGCTAAAGCTTTCTGTGCTCTTGGGGCAGCCTTGCTATGGTGATGGTTCATGCTTTAAATGCACCGAGGTGGGGGTGCGCACACAGCAAACCCTTTTGCCAGCTCCTAGGACATCCAGAGAGCCTCAACGACCTCCTTGGAGGAGGCTGAACTCTGCTAGTTTGTGCCCTTTCTCAGCACTGGGCAAAAGGTGTTTTTAGCAGGCTGCAGAGGTGTTCACAAGTGGCTGGTGACCCGTGGCGTTCGCTAGCCCGTTGTACCGGTGGGTGCGCTGAGCCGTGTCGCGCCAGCTTATACCTTTGGCTCTGCAGCCTCTGGGTAGTGCTGCTCCTGAGACAGCCCCGACCAAACGGCTGAGCCGCAGCACGGGATGGTCCCCAGCAGTTCATAGCATGGAGCAGGAGAAGCTCCCTCTTCCCCACTGCTGGCACAGCAGCATACAAAGCTGTGGTTGTTGCAGGGCCCGGGGGATGAGGCAATTGTGTTTGAATCCTTGCAGGATCCTTGGGCTGGAGGTGCCTCCTGCAGCCAATGCTGCAAGTGACAGGGTGCAAAGCAGCCTCTGGTTTGGTAGGGAGAGTTTAAAGGCTTGCAATGTGTATGGCCGGGAGCGTGTATGGGACTGGATGAGTGTGGGGAGGACCATGCATGAGGCAGGTCAGGACAAGTGTCCCACGCTGGCCTTCTTTGATGGTGCTATGCAGAGGGGTTTGCAGATGAGCAGAAGTGCAGCTGTAACGTAGCAGTGCTTTGGGGATGGGCAGGATGAATCCAGAGCCTCCTCTCCACTGCATAGGAGAGGTACAGCCTGGGTCAGTGTCAATAGCTGGTGGCTATGGTAGGGACCATGGAGTACTAGGCTGAAGCCTTTTGCCTTTCTTGTCCTGTGAGCAACATAGCAATGTCCTCATATGGCCGGGAATCACAGGACACATTCTTACACATCAGGGAGCTCTAGGATTTGTTTCCAGGGGAGATGTAGCTACAGGTCCTTTGGGATCCCACCAGATGGATGGAGACTCTTCTAGTTGCTGTGAAATTGCCCACATCCCTCATCCTTCTTTTGAAGGAAGAATCCTTTTAGAGATGGCAATGACTTAGGATAGTGAGGTGCTCCTTGGGAGTACCTTGTTTTTGTTTGAATTTGGCATTCCACTGTAGATGATTTGCATTTTTCTTGGGGTGATCTTAGTGCTTAGAATGTGCTGCAAATATCTCGCTGCAGAGCCAGGCCACCAGATCCTCCCGGCTTCCTTGTCCTAACCTTTGCGTTGTTTTTTTGTAAACACACTGACAGCTCGAGGTTTATTTCTGTGGGCTCTGTAAGTTGATCTTTCCGTGACTGCTGGGGAACAGTATTGCAACATTCCTGCCTCTTCAACTAAGGACATCGTTATGAGGCAGAATGTATTTTTATCGGATGAACTCATCCAAGCTCCTGGGGTATGAGCAGAGCTGCTCATTCCTGATATGCTCCTCTTTCTCCTCCACCATCCATGCACTCCCCATCAAAATGCACTTGTGGAGCTCTTGTGCAGGATTAGGCGTGTGCATGGCCAAGGACCTGGGACAATGCAATCTGGTCACATCTGGTTTTACTCCTCTGGGCGATAAACCCATATATGAGAGGACAGCTCTTTGCAAAGGTGCTTTTCCCTCTGCTCCCTCTTTTCCCTGCATGTGGTTGCCACCACTGTCAACAGGTCCATTCCTTGTCCACTGCTGAGTCTCACTGAGGAAGTCTGCACAAGCAACATCCTGCCCTCTCCAGAAAGATGCTTAGTCCCACTAATCTGTAGCTCTACAAGAGCCTTCCTCCAGGGATGCAGCTCTGGGACTAGCTCACTGCTAAAGACCCCAGAGAAATCCCTGGCCCTGCTGCTCCCAGGCCTAAACTGTGGTTTTGGGAAGCCATGGCTGGCATTGCTAGACAAAGCGAATGTACAAGTAATAGGGGTGAAGGGAAACCTCTGTCATAGCCTTTATGAGGAAGAAGTGTCCCAGACAATGAAACAGCTTGATGACTCCATTAGGGTATCTGCATAGGGTTCTTCATGGTGAATTTCACTCTTTCACTTTGAGAATACCAAAGCAAGGAAAGGGAGAAAAGCAAGAGAATGGATGATGAAACGTCCCCTAGAAATGCTCCTGGGAGAGATGTGTCCATACAACACCTTACTCATGGGAGCACCTGCATCCACTTTACACTGGCTGTGGAGGCCTCTCTGGGTAGCATCACTGAGCTGAAAAGCTGGACGAACTGAGGAAACCATTCCCAGCTTTCCCAGTGCCTGCACCCTCTTCCTCAACTGACAGTGGAAGATCAGAGCTAATTAAAACCTTTATGTGGAAACTTCTTTTTCTTGCATGAAGGACTTATTCATAGCAGCCCAGTGGTCCTGTTTTCCCTCTTTCATAAAAATAGTGTATTCACTCTGTTGGTGATGTGATATTTTGCTCCAGAAGGGCACATTTTCCTACATGTTCTTTCCCCCATTTATTCAGCTAGTGCCCATGACTTCATTTATTTATTGTAAATAAACAGCTGATACCATTTCTTGCAAGCTCTCTTTCTGTGCCTCTCTTTGTTAGTGGTCTGGCAACAAAACACTTAATTGCCCTTTGTCAGGCAGCAAATTTTTTGTACCCATCTGGACAGGACTGTTTCAGTGTGACATTATTAATTAACCCTGTGGCTCCTAGTCATGTCCAAGCTGGAAACAGAGCCAGCCCTGCTGTTAAGACCAAAGGATTAGCTGATTTGAGTTCAGTAAAGCCTATGGGATTCACAGTGGCTATTTGGGGATTTTTCTGTGGAGGTGGAAGGTGGGAAATACCTAAAATTGAAATGACTCTGGGAGACAATTTTGGTAATTAAAGGCTCAATCTGTATTTCAATTTACCCATGAGCTATGTTAATGGCCATTGGGATGCACCTGGATTTCAGCTATTATGGAGATCAGCATCTCTGGGACTGAGATGTTAATGAGCATGAACAAACACCCATTTTTCAGCTGGATCTGGTAAGCCATGTGCCTTCTGGGTAGCTATGTCCAGCTGTTGTCTAGGGTCCATCTCAAACGATGCAATTACTGGATGTCTGTTGTGCTCATGTCAGTGGGAACTTGGAACAGAGCTCACATTTTGGTTGCCACCTCTACTTATGAAGGGTCTGTGCTTGGATTTGCAGGAGAGATGTAGGATGGGCTTTTGAGGGGAGTGTCCGTGCTGGTTTTGTTGAGCTGCACCTGTGCTGTTGGGTTTAAGGCAAAGTTGGTATGAATGTTGCCTCCACACATTGCTCAGAGTCCATGTGGGTTGAGGTCAATAATTGTGCATTCCCATCACTGCTGCTGACTGCCTGTGGGGACCAGACTGGTCCTTTTCAATTTATGTGTTTGGATTTTGCCAGAGGTGGAGAATCCCAGTGGCCTGAGGAGAAAATTCACTGTGAGAGAATTAGCAGTGTAAAAACCCAGTTATGTGAAAAGGCTTCTCTTCTCTTGCAGGTTCTCCAGGTCAGATGAGCTGTCCCGGCACAGGCGCTCCCACTCGGGGGTGAAACCCTATCAGTGTCCTGTCTGCGAGAAGAAGTTTGCTCGAAGTGACCACTTGTCCAAACATGTCAAGGTGCATCGGTTCCCACGAAGCAACCGCTCCGTCCGCTCCGTGAACTGATGGGTCCCGCTTTCCCCTTCCCGCCCAACCATCCCACAACAGCCGACGACAGCACTTTGCTCACTGTCTTTCTAGTGATAATTTATTTGCCTCCACAGAACAGTCAATGCTGTTACTTGATACCACCATGTCTGAGTGTCCCATGTCCTTTAAAGATGATTGGAGAATGAAGTTCTCTTTGGGTCAGGGGAGGGGGCTGCTTCTTCCTTATCATCTTTTTTTTTTTTTTTTTTTTTTAAATGTTATTTTCCTTTCCTTCTATCTTTCCCTCCTTTGCTGCTGCTGCTGCTTCTTTTGGAAATTACAGTGTTTTATTTTTAGCTGTTTTCTGCTGCACAGGAAAATGTAAGAGTTGCTTGCTGCTAGTTAATTATAGCCCTGGCATTCTTTTTGGCTTTGCTCATGTACAGGCCATTCATTGTGAGTTTTTATTAAGCTGCTCTATTTGTCCAGTTTGGAAACAGCAAATTCCTTTTGAAATGAAAACAACTCCTTTGTTTTTGGGTCGCCTGAGCCAAGGATTTGTAGGGGCTGGCCATAGGAGGAGGAATAGTGGGAGTCGGGGACAAGGGGAGGCAAGGCATGGAGAGCACTGGAATGTTCCTCCGCGCCTCTCTGACTTCTCCAGCTCACATTTACCTTTTCCTTGGTTAGGGCTATGTATAAATGTTTATGTATATATATTCATACATACATATATATATATATATATATATATTTAAGCAAAGACATATCCCAGGCAAGTCCAGAAGCTCAGGCTGGGTGAAATGGCTTGGAGTGGAGCCTTTTGGTGTGGCTGAGCACGTACCATGTGCATGCTTCTCCCTTCCCGCGCTGCTGTGGGGGCGAAAGGATGCCCACGTGTCAAAGGAAATGCTGCTTTCCTTTGACTCTGGTTTGCAGCATCCATTGTCTTTAGCAGAAGAGCTGTTGTTTAGTGTGCAAAGCAGCAGGAAGCCATTGGTGAGAATGGCTGAGCTCTGCTCCTGTCCTTTTTTTGTGTGATCTTGGGGGTTAAACCAGAGCGCCAGCCCTGGAGGTGTCCGTGGTGCTGCTGAGCATCCTGAAAATCCAGCGCTGCTCAACACGTCGCTGTCTGGAGCCGAGTCTCCATTTGTGCCCTGGCCAGGAAGGTCCTGTAGGATGTACCTGTACCCAGGAGAGGGTGGGAGGCATCATGGCCTGGTGGGACAGCACGCTGAGATCTTCTGTTCAAGGGTGATCTTCAGTGCTAATCCTCTCCTTACCGACAGCCATGTCAGAGCTCCACGCAGCTGGGGTGGGCGAATGGGTGAGAACAGTAGCCAAATGAAACAAATTCATGTGGTATCTGGCTAAGAAGGGAATTTAAACAAATAATCGGTTGGTAGCAGGCGAGTGATTTTGTTTGCGTTTCTTCCTCTTGCTTTGTTTTACCTTTTGAACTCTGGTGATCGTAAGAAGCTCTAGAAGAACAAGGAATTCAGTAATTAGAAATGATTTTATAACGTGTTGCATTTCCTCTCCATTTGCAGACAGTGTCTGTTTGTCTTTTTGTTGTCAAAATGGGAACTAGGAAACTGGGATTCTAGCGCTAGGCAGAGCAGGGGCCCGCGCTGAAGCCAATGCATTCCTTTTGTCCTCTAGAAATTAATATAAGTGAACTATCTTCTATTGACTGGTTTATATCACATCCTATGAATGTATGTAAATAAAACTGTACATAGATGCATATCTATATAAAATATCTTTTAATAACATATCAAAATTTGTGTAAATTTGAAACAAAAATACCTATAAAGCCAGTGTACATAAGTTACAATTCTGTATATTTTCTTTTGTTCTTCATAAAAATATATTTACTTTGACAATAAAATGAAAATGGAAATTTTAATTCCCTCCTTGGAATTATTTTTAATTAATTTCCTTTGCTCTGTAACCAGGACATTAGTGCTTTACATTTTTATTTACCTGGCTGTAACTTTTCAGGTGCTGAGTAAGAGCAAGATAATGCAACAGATCTAAAGTTGCCTTCAGAAGCTTTTCTCATCTGAGAAAGTTCTTGGGAGGAGCAAGATGGTTCAGCCCTTCCTTCAGTGGAGCCCTCCCGCCTCGCGTAGCAGCCACACGAGGACCCGAATGCCTTCTGTGGTTTCTGACCACCATGGAACAGATCTGCAGCTGCAGTAAAACTGTGGTTAAAACATTAGAGCAAGCAGGTTTGAGGAAATTCAAGCTCTAGTGGTTAGTGTGAAGGAGGAAGGGCTTCAGAGGCTGCTTGAGACTGGCAGTGACTCATTGTGTGACCCAGGACAAAGGATTCAATTGCCATGGGCCAGTTTCATTTCTTGTAAAATGGGGTTAATAATGCATTGTGGTGATACTGTAGGACTTAATTTATGTTTGTGCCTTGGATGGAAGGAGCAAGCAATAAAGCCAGTAGTCAAAGGATTAGATTGTGAAAGAAAGGCTCAGCATGGCAGAGGTCTTGGTGCTAAGGTGCTTTAGTTGGCTCTCCTCCAAATCCCTTGTCTGAAGAGTGATGTGAACAACCTGTGGTATGAAGCATGTCTCAGGACAAGACAATAACCATTGCTTCCCATTCGCAACAACAAGGGCATGAAGATGTTCTTGTGACCTGCAAGCCAGGACATCTCTTGCACTGTGCTTTTGGTTGCTTGGCCTCTTCTGGGAAAAGAAACCAGCAATGTTACTGGTGTCTCCACAGGAGAGTCTGAGTCTCCATGGGAGCAATGGTGCAGTTGGTCCAGATCTTCTCCCACCAAGAATCACTCTGAGACTAATGGGCACTTGGGGATAAAACTCTCTCCCGGCTGAACAGCCACCAAAACCTGCCAGCTGATGAGCCGGGGACCTCCAGACCTCTGATTATTTTTCCTAAAGAACACATATGAGTCTGGCAAGAGGACCAAGGGATGTGGCAGAGTAAGTTCTGTTTAGTCTAGGTTGTTGCTACCTCCTGAGATGTAGCCTGAAGACCAGAGTCCTAAGGACAGATGTTTAAAGAGTGCTAGTAGCAGCTTTCAAGCTGTAATTAGCAAGCCTGCACCAAGAGGATCTCCGATTCCCTTCTGTTCTCACCCTATCGACATCATGTATTAAACCAGCTGCTTTATTTTAACCAGCATCTCAGTCTCCTCCCCATCTCATCTGGAGTTCTGATATTGCTGTAACATTGGGCAATTCACCCTGCAAGACACTCGGGACAGAAGTTGTTATTTTTCTGCAAGAAGCAATACTTAAAGCTGAAGTGAAGTAATGCAAAATACCTGCTGTGGGAGCACAGCAGTATCTAAGCTGTTTTAGCCTGGAATATTTTCCATGAAATACTTCTTTGCACTTTTTTTTTTCCCTGTTTGTTTTAAATATGGTTTCTGAGTGTGGTTTGTGTGGTTTTTTTCCAATTAATACCTGTAAGGAAATTTAAGTTTATGTGAAAGTTGCAAAATTTTGCTTAAGAGAGAAGGGCCTTGTTTGCTGTGAAAGGAGAGTTAGTTCTGCATGAAAATTAATGAAATTTTCAGAGTTTTTTCACAAAAAGAAGTAGACATTTCAAAAATAGATGTTGGTATTTCTTTTATTTAGAATTACTAGCCTGCCATAGGTCCTGCTGATTCATGAGAAAAATGTGGCCTTGTCTTAAGCCTGATTATTCTTTATCCACCTGAAGATAAATATTTATCTCTAAGTGTTCTGAAGCCACAACTGTAGATGTTTATAGTGTCCCTGCTTCAGCAACTCTGCAAGGCAAAGCACAGCATGGCATCATTATCTGCATAAATCTTATTGACTTGAAACTCCTACAACTGAGTTTCTGAGGTGTGAATGGACACGTGCAGTGTTAGAGCCTTCACATAATGATTGTGATCTGATTCCTAACACCTGCAAGATCTCTTTCAATATCTAAGAGTTCTTACTGGCAATTTTTGGCAGTTTATATTCTCTTCCTCACAGATAAGGGTGAAGGAACAATGCTATGAAAGGTGAGAAGGCATCAGCTGGGGAGATTGTACTCAAGGTATGGATTAAGTGTAAGCAATGAGAGTAAAGTGGTATTTCTGTAAAGTGATGTTTCTGTAAGGTGACCTGACTTCTGTGACCTGTGGCTAAAGCCAGAGCAGGGGAGTGATGTGTCTGAGACTGCAGAGCTATGCAGAGGGGAAACGGGCGCAGAACCAAGGAGTCCCAGCTCTCCTATGCCCCAGACAGTGGCACAGAGCACACATCAATAACACACAGTGGGTTATAGAAGGCCAAGAGTAATAGGACATGTGAGACATGAGATAAGCAACGAAAGGTAAAGACGGGGCATGAGATAAAGTCAGGCTGCTCTGATAACGTCTGCCTTTGGAAAGGATGCCAAGGAGAGAGGACAGAGACCTCACTTGCTGGTGTGTTGCATTTGGGAGTCACTGGGGTGAAATACTCTAAAAAAAAGCCCTGCTCCCCTGACCTGTGTTCCATGGAGGTTTTTTTCCCCTGGCAGTTTGTGAGGGAGCTCAGAGGGCTGCTCCTGTAGAGAGCAAACCAGCCCATCGAGCAGGGGGTTACGATGGAAGGCGGCAAATCTGGCTCCCTGGAGGAGCGCTGGGATTTAGACCCTACAATGTTTGCAACAGTCCCCTTCTTCTTGCCTTCCCCAAGGGGTTGTTTCCATTTAAATCCTTCTGCCGGGAGCCTTCTCCTTGAATGGCCACTATACATTTAATCCAAACAATCAGGTGACTCCAGCACAAAGCCAGTAGGAATAAGCCAGCGTTAATTATTACCCCAGGCCTCTTGGGTTACGTAAGCCTGGATGTGCTGTACCACGGGCTATGGGCTCAGATGTGCCCTCCCTGTCTGGCAAAAATACCAAGGACCTGCCAACACACATAGAAAGCTGTTCAAAGCCAGCTGGGATTTTCCTTCTCCCCTTTTGACAGCACCTATGAAACCTGTTATTCACTCTGTTCAGCGACTGCCATGCTTTGCTTGCTTGTTATTCAGAGATGTTGCTT